CAGTTTTGCGTGCGTGCGTCCGTATACGTGTATGTGCTCGCGTGTGCATATTCGTTAGTTTTCAAGGCCGAGAAACTTTGGATTTGTACACCGTGGATTGTGTTTCGGAATTAACAGCGATGTTTTTGTGAAGCGACAACAAAACAACGGGAAATCTAGAAAAGAGACAAAGTGTTGGGCTCATAAATTCGGTCAGCCGCAGAAAATTCCTTAATGGAATTGTGGTCATAGACGGACAGTGTGCCGTGACTGATTTTACTTACCAGGGATTTCTGTGCCGAAAAAAAAAAGACAGATACGTTGTTTTTGTTACCTATATCTATAGCTTAATTTGTGCGGTTCAGAGATACCGTATTTACTCGATTGTAATGCTACCACGATTGTAACTCGAGGTCCTACTTTACATTGTGTCGAGGAAAGAAAAAAAATAGTTATATCGGTGTTTGATTGTAACGCGAGTGTGGACTTTTAAGTAGCGAAATTCTCGGAAAAAAAGGACGAAAAAAAAAACCGTTACATTCCACTGGATACGGTATATGCGAGCGAACATACAGGCCACGCTGTCAGCCTTCCACTCCGTCGCTGGCTTGTTTTGCTTTCTCCGTGTTATTAAAGCCTTGGTGCGTTCCATGCGGATCGGAAAGCGCGATTTCGCTGTTTTTGCTTTACCTGAAATGAAACGTTGCCGTGCAAATTTTTTTTTTATTTCTTTGCAGCCGAGAATAAAGTAACACAGCGCGCGTTTTTCGCTCATTAGAAAAACACTGGCGCCGCTAGGTTTATTTTCTTGAGCTCGCGTTAATTAACTGATATGTCGCCCAGCGCCCGTGTTCAGTGCTTCACGGTCGAGTACTGATCACACTTGCGTACCATTACGATCTGTGCGAAGTAGGCTTGCTCCAGAAATTATTTCTGTACAACATAAACTGCTGCATAGTCCCTCAAGGAATAGAACAAGCATCGCATTAAACTAGGACCAAAGTAGCAATTTATAACAAAAGATTGACATTTTGAGAAGCCTACCGTATGCGCTCGCATAATAGCAGCGTTGGCTATACTATTCGCCTATCTCGGATACTTCCGGCTATATCTGTAGTTGTGTTCATAACAGCGTAATAAAGGAATGCATCTGTACCGCCGCAGCTCTACCCCGATATATACACTATATACTGCACACTATAAGTGCAGTTTTTCCAAAGAAATTCTCGGCAAGTTTTACGCAATTCCGCCCACTTTCTAGAGAGTCATCGCATTTATTTCTACCGCATGTAGTTGGGGACGCCCACCAAGCTTTGGAGGCTTATGGCGTTGTTCTAGGAATATATCCTCCTCAACTGTCGTTCAGCACGCCGCGTATATAACCGATATGATAGTACATTATAGCCCTTTCTACGTATTCGCGACTGGGACTGGCGTCAGCATTTCTGAACTGTGGACGCGCGTGCAATAATAAATGCGGAGTCATTACGCAATTTCGTTAGCTTTGGTGCTGTGCGTGTTTTTTTTTTAATGGCAATGTGTCTGCATTGAAAAGCGCATGCACGCATGGTTTTCGTCTGTCGCGAACGGGGAAGGACACTCTTGCGTGTATAAAGCGCAGAGCGTACTCCCAGTCTTTTCTGTTTTATTTGTAATGCTCCACAGCTCGCCAGATCCGTTAGCCCGCACGCGAGGCACTGATTCATTTTGTCCTGCTTATTTTCCTTACGTTTCTAACTCGGGCGCTCTCGTATTCGTTCATCCATTACGTTTAATGCGATGACATCGTTGTGCAGCACGGCGCTTTCACGTTCTTTAGATTTAGCGTGGCATGGAGACACGATTTCATATTGTGTAAGGTTTCAGGACTCCTGCTCTGCATATCAATTTGAAAATGTGCCGGTGTGGCCTACCTGTTTCTTTCGGTGGTGTATTTTTCCTATCTGGGAGGCTCGATTAATTCGTTTGTGGCCTTCGTTGGAAATTGCTTTGTACGAAAATATCTAGTTGTGTATTACTTAGCACGGATGATATGAAGTTAAGCTAGAAGTGTCGGTATTAAGAGTGTTTAATAGATTCTTCTCGGGGTCCCTTGCATGCCCAACGGTGACCCCGAAACGCAGATTTCTGCAGTATCTTGATTGACGCTCGAGTGGTGCTCTGTTGCACTTCGCCATGTGATCACTTTCTAGTTTGCGCTAACATTATAACTCTAAAGCTTGGCACAGCGTCTCCACGGCGTCTTCTTCCCTTAATAAACGCTCGGCTTGGCAATAAAGCAATTCCGTAGTCTTACATATAGCTCTTTAAAAAGTGTTCGATTGCTTATATCATCCCATATAGTTTCATAAAAATAGCGCGCAATACACCTGGAAGTATTGAAATTAATTACGGGACTTGGAGCGTTCTTCGCCTAATGCACAAAAGGCTATACAGGATATATATATTTCGCCCTCCGCCAGCGCATTACACGGGGGGTGCTACGAGTATAGCAGCTGGATAATGCGCTTTCTTAGCTTCTTGAAACACGAGAACGTTGTCTTAGTCGCATGGGAACTGGAATGGCGTGTTGCGCGCATAACATTCACATGTATGTTACAAGGCAGTCTAATCTTAGTGACAAGAGTTTGTTTCATGCGCTGGGTGCTGTGTTTACCTCGTCATACCGGACATTGAGTGTGTCTTTATGTACTATTATGTGTTTTCCACTCGTTTCCGCGTGGCTATAGCTCTTGCCTGCTTCACATTAAGTAGTGTAACAGCAAAACTTTTCCTATATATAATTTGCTCATCGTGGAGGGCGAAAAGCCTGGGCCTAGAGTGAAAGACGGCAAACCTCGTTAAGTGAGATTAGCTCTGATATTTTCAACTCTGGTTATCTAAAAATTAAACTAAAAAAAGATAAAGAACTAATGGCGGACACTACGAATTCGTTAAATTAGGTTTGTAAGCGAAGCTTTATTGGAAGGTTTCAGTTTAATTTCCGTGAAGCGTTGACTAACGTCAATTCCGTCATGGAAAAGACGTCAGCGGAAATGAGCCTGGTCAAATGTACGTATGCAACAGAGTGCATGACGTGCAATTAAAAAAAAAAAGCTTTTACCTTCTCTTCCGCGCAATTTCCGTAATGGTGTGTAATGACGGTTTCTAACCGAATTTAACTGGTGTGTCTAGTCGCAATGGCTCTAGTGTTTAATAGTAGCTAGTATTCATAATAATCGTTAAGGTTTTACGTCCGAAAACCCATTATTACCTTAAGGCTAGTATTAGCGAGTATCAGCCGTAGTCGCAAAGGTATAGTTTTAGATAATGTTAATATAGGCGAATATTAAGCTGCGTGCAATAACGTAATTGTAGACCACAGTTTACTCGAAGTGATAAACGATGCTCACGCGTAATCTAAATAGAGGTTGTAGAATAAATTTGTAACATTTCGGCTATCAACATAACCTATAAACTTAAAGCGAAATTTTGGATTTGTAAAAGCAGCCAATGAATTCACGACATTCGTTCGATTTTCGGAAGTAATCTCGAAACCGACCGGCTAGGGTGTGTGTGTTTTGTGTGTGTTTTCTGTGTTGTGTGTGTTCAGAAAGAAAGTGGGAGTAGAGAACATTGCCTTACGGGACAAATATAGTAGGAACACCTACACGGCCCGCGCAGCACAATCTGGCCCGAATCTCATTCGATCGCATATCCAGCTGTCAGTCGATTGGGTTCCTGCGAGAGCACATTTGACGGGGGCAAGCGAGTCCATGGTGGAGCCACGTCGGGCGCGTTTTGTGTTCGCGCTCACCGAATGGATATCGAACGAGATAAGAAAAACGAATATACAAAGTCGGTAGGACTAAGGCAAAGGGGTCGGTCTGCTTGGGGCGCAGTTGATGTATGCATGCACTGTGATGGACGTCACGCTATTTTTTTTTTCCTGCCACGCAGCGTAGCTCAGGTTCGTCGGTGGTCGACGGATGCATTATGGATGACCAGACGACGACAGGAAATGCGCGAACGTGTTTCCTGAATTGCCCCTCTCTCCTCCTCTTCTAAAACTCTCGTTCTCTCCAGCATCCACCCCACTTTCTTGAAGGCGAGTTGTGCCACGAGCCTCAGAGATCACGAATGGCGAACGATCGCGGAGACCTTGATTTTCTTCGAGCATGCAAAGAAGGGGTGGGCAGTGACCGCTGTGACGTTTGTGTTCCAGCGGTCTTTCGTTTTGTCACCGTCGCTGTTGCCTAGTGGCCGAGTATCGTAATGATGGGCAAAAAGTTGTGGGTTCGACTGAGTGTAAATGATCGTGTACAGAGTCCGTTGGTTGCGCGGAAGTTTCATTTTGAGAAGTATTTCGGTTTGGGCTAGTTACTGTATAGTCCTAATTTTAAAAAGGCAGCGGGAAGACACAAGCAATTTAAAAAAAAAATCAGTAGAGTGCTCTTCGTCTCTATCGCATTTTTTTCCCTATGTCTTTACGCTGCATTTTCTAGATGAGTTTCATTTCACTCCGATTCCAGCTATAAAAGAAAAAAAAGCTTTCTTGCTGCTATTTTCCTCTTGAATAATTGTGTTGGCGTTTCACGGGAACTTGCAGGATGAATAGAATGAAGATACATTTTATTTTATTTTATTTTATTTTATTTCAGTGATTTCAAAAGCTTAGCTTAAAGCGCCTCCGAGTGGTCCGAGGGTGCATGATTATCGGAGCTAGGATCAGCCGAATGTGTTCAGAGCATTCGGGTTGGACAACCAGTATATACGCGCGTCTCCAGGGCACTCCTATATCATGACTGCCCGAATGGCTCGTTCGTATGCATACACTCGCCTTTTCATCTGCATTGCCTCTGTGGTGGCAGCCATCTGTCGTGTATAGTTGTGGCATCTTGGCTGCAGTTCGCGTTGTTTGTGTGCGTTGCGTGTAAACACTATGCACGCTCTTCTGTTTTCGTTGCTGTGTCGGCGCTTTTATTATTTGTCGTCTTTCTTCATCACCCTGGAGTGTGAACATCGTGTCCTCTTCTTCGCAGGCGTCATCGGGCCTCCGGCTCTCTGCTGAACCTCAGCGGCACGTCGCTGAAGCAGCCATGCGTGTGCCCAGGTTACGTGGATACTGCCTAGGCTGCTTGATACTAGCGGACCCTCGGCAACCGCGATCGTCTTGGCGCTTCTCACCTGGTGAGGGAGTGAGTGAGAGAGAGAGAGAGAGAGAGAGAGAGAGAGAGAGTGTGTGTGTGTGTGTGTGTGTGTGTGTGTGTGTGTGTTTGTGTCGCGTGAACGTCTCGAGAAATACGTGAACGTCACCTTCATTTCATAGTATCTGTGTAAATGACAGCCAATCGCCTTACACGAGTATATGCGATGCGTGTTAAAAGTATGCAGTTGGTTTTTTTTTTACATTTCTAGCTTTCTTCAATGGGGGAGTTGACTTGATGGATACGATTAAAATGCCACCGACAACGACGAAACGAAAGTGTGGAGTAGGTTTTAAACACTTTAAAATGAGCCACGAAAGCCTAGTACTTAGTGTTAGGAAAGACACCCACCACTGAGTCTTATGCCACTCAGAACAAAGTAGTATTACTATATTACAGTTAATAGTAAAAAAAAAGACGCCACAATACAGTGCAAGGCTGTACTGTAAGCGTTTTAACTCACTCCCTATATACACTAAGCCGTCTTCGGGTCTCATGGTGGCCTTTAAGATACAGTTATTAAAACGAATGCATTGTATACTTCATCAAACGACAAAAGTGACCGCCGCCTCCAAGAGATCATCGAATATCTTTCTTATGAATCCCATTCATACACGTTTCCAAACTCGTCGTTATCGTCATCTTCGATGAAGATGACAATGATCTTTTCAATCATCCATAGTGCCATAATTCATCACTATCAAAATCGGTGGTAGTTTTATGTATAACGGTGGTAGTTTTATGGTACTGATGATTCTTTGATGATAATTATTACTAAAGCAGCAGATGGGATTGCCTTTGCCGTCTTAGGCAAATAAAATTAACCTGTGAGTTTCTTGTTTGTTTGCTTTCTGATGCTTTTTTTTTTCAGTGTTCATGGGATCATAAAGGTAGGCGCACCCATGGCGCACAGTTTTTGTGTGTCCCATTGTCCAGTAAAAAAAAAAAGAAAAAAAGTGGGGGGAGGGACTGCATAGCAATTTACTTGTTTTTTTTTTTTTTCTTGCCCGAAACAATGCGGCATTTGGGCTGAAGCGCCAACGCGTAGATGTCACTGCCGCAACGCAGGTGGCGCCTGTAGAGGCACGCATACCACTACATAGTTTCTACTTGTATTTACGTTTTTTTTTAGTAATTATTCGTATCCGCTTCGTCCTCATATTTCCAGTGCGTAACGAAGGGTGTCTGTTCAGTGAGCGCCCTGTCCTTACGTCACTTGCCGGGCAAATGGTGTTGCCCTTTTTGGAAAATACAAAAACGCAGGGAACGGTCTCAACGTCAACCTTAATAACAAAGAAGCATTTGAATGTATTGAAGAGAATAAAATAATATTTAGGAAAAAGAAAGGCCTCAACGGAGTGGGGTGAAGAGGGGTGGGAGATGGAACGAACGTCCTGATTCTGGGAAAGCAACGGGAAAGGTCTACGATGAAAGACTGCCTGAGCGCTTCTTCTTTCGGCAACCTTTGATGCGAGCTATAAGAGCATGTATACAATTCTGGACAGCAGGTCCGTATAACCTAGAAAGGTGCCCCAGTCCCTCCCCCTCCCCGAAATTCAAACGGAAAGGGGGTATTTTACAGAGAAAAAGTTGGGAAAATAAGTGTTTTTAAAGGCTATAACAAGCCCCCCCTCCTCCTCCTCCTCGAAAAAAAAATTCCTGGCTACGGGCCTGGTGAACAGGTGATGTGAACGTGGATCGACTTAGCGCTACCGTATTGACTTCTTTTCGTATGCACTTGATCAATTTACAATCTGCAAGAAATATCCAGAGCTTTTATTGGCCAATCTGATTGTCGGGGGCGACCGTTGCGCAAGCACTTCGTGAGTCGAGGAGGCTTATCTTTTTAAGTGTTCTCGAGACTCGCGAATGTCATCTTTCTGCGGGTCTCGTTCAGAGCTGCCAAGTCGGTGCTCGAAGTAATCTACTGTGGCGTTGCGCTGCGTTCGCTGAAATTATCTCCTTTTGTCTGTTGTAGTCGAACGCTGTGTATAGAAGGGCGGCGACTGGCGCAGTGCTGTTATTGAGGTTTCTACGCGTAGCCGAGGGCCGCTGTTACACGTATACAGCGCTACGAAAGGAGTACCTCTGTTAGAGAGGATCGGTTGAAGAATGGAGATGACGGAGATTTCAAGTTGTTGGGTGCTGTTGTCGTGTGCCGGATATTTTCTTTTTATTTATTTATTTATTTATTTATTTGTTTACTAATGTAACAATACTGCAGGCCATAAAGTGCCCACAATAGGAGGGGAAAAGTAGAAATAAATATGAAGTGTAGGGTATCAAGAACAGTGTACAAAGAGGATGTATACAAAGTGAGTCTATATGAACTAGTCATCATCATCATCAGCCTGACTACGTCCACTGCAGGACAAAGGCCTCTCCCATGTTCCGCCAGTTAACCCGGTCCTGTGCTTGCTGCTGCCAATTTATACCCGCAAACTTCTTAATCTCATCTGCCCACCTAACCTTCTGTCTCCCCCTAACCCGCTTGCCTTCTCTGGGAATCCAGTTAGTTACCCTTAACGACCAGCGGTTATCCTGTCTACGCGCTACATGCCCAGCCCATGTCCATTTCTTCTTCTTGATTTCAGCTATGATATCCTTAACCCCCGTTTGTTCCCTAATCCACTCTGCTCTCTTCTTGTCTCTTAAGTTTACACCTACCATTTTTCTTTCCATTGCTCGCTGCGTCGTCCTCAATTTCAGCTGAACCCTCTTTCTAAGTCTCCAGGTTTCTGCTCCGTAGCTAAGTACCGGCAAGATACAGATGTTATATACCTTTCTCTTGAGGGATAGTGGCAATTTACCTGTCATAATTTGAGAGTGTTTGCCAAATGTGCTCCACCCCATTCTTATTCTTCTAGTTACTTCAATCTCGTGGTTCGGCTCCGCGGTTATGAGCTGCCCTAAGTAGACATAGTATTTTACAACTTGAAGTGCACTATTACCTATCTCGAAGCGCTGCTCTTTACCGAGGTTGTTGTACATTACTTTCGTTTTCTGCAGATTCATTTTAAGACCCACCTTTCTGCTCTCCTTGTCTAACTTCGTCATCATGAGTTGCAATTCGTCCCCTGAGTTACTCAGCAATGCAATGTCATCGGCGAAGCGCAGGTTACTAAGGTACTCTCCATTGACTCTTATCCCTAGCTGTTCCCATCCTAGGCTTCTGAAAACCTCCTGTAAGCGCGCGGTAAATAGCATTGGGGAGATTGTGTCCCCCTGCCTTACACCCTTCTTGATTGGTATTATGTTGCTTTCTTTATGAAGCACTATGGTAGCAGTTGATCCCCTGTAGATTTCTTCCAGGATGTTTATATATACTTCATCTACGCCCTGATTACGCAGTGTCTGTATGACGGCTGATATTTCTACTGAATCAAACGCCTTTACGTAATCTATGAAGGCTATGTATAGTGGTTGGTTATATTCTGAGCATTTCTCTATTACCTGATTGATAGTATGAATGTGGTCGATTGTTGAGTAGCCTGTTCGAAATCCTGTTTGTTCCTTTGGTTGATTGAATTCTAATGTTTTCTTTACTCTGTTAGCAATTACCTTTGTAAATAGCTTGTATACTACAGAGAGCAAGCTAATCGGCCTGTAATTCAAGTCCTTGTCATCTCCTTTCTTATGTATTAAGATGATGTTAGCGTTCTTCCAAGACTCTGGTACTCTTCCCGTCAGGAGACACCTCGTAAACAGGGTGGCTAGTTTTTCTAACACAATCTGTCCTCCATCTTTCAGCAGATCTGATGTTACCTGATCCTCACCAGCAGCTTTGCCTCTTTGCATGCTCTCCAAAGCTTTTCTGACTTCTTCTATCATTACTGGTGGGGTGTCATCTGGGTTACTGCTAGTTCTTATAGTATTAAAGTCGTGGTTGTCCCTGCTACTGTACAGATCTCTGTAAAACTCCTCCGCTATTTCAACTATCCTATCCATATCTGTAGTTATTTTGTTCTCTTTGTCCCTTAGTGCATACATCCGATTTTTGCCTATCCCAAGTTTCCTCTTCACTGCTTTGACGCTTCCTCCGTTTTTCAGAGCATGTTCAATTCTCTCCATGCTATATCTTCTTACATCGGATACCTTACGCCTATTAATCAACTTCGAAAGCTCTGCCAGTTCTATTTTGTCTGTTGTACTTGAGACTTTCATGATTTGGCGCTTCTTAATGAGATTCTTCGTTTCCTGCGAAAGCTTGCCAGTGTCCTGTCTAACTACCCTGCCTCCAACTTCCACTGCACACTCCGTAATGATACTCGTCAGATTATTCATCGTATCTATGCTAAGGTTCGTTTCCCAACTAAGAGCCGAGTACCTGTTCTGAAGCGAGACTCTGAATTCCTGTACTTTCCCTCTCAGTGCTAGCTCATTGATTGGCTTCTTGCGTATTAGTTTCTGTCGTTCCTTTCTCAAGTCTAGGCGAATTCGAGACCGTACCATTCTATGGTCACTGCATCGTACCTTGCCAACCACTTCCACATCCTGCACGATGCCTGGGTGTGCACTCATTATAAAGTCTATTTCGTTCTTATTTTCGCCATTAGGGCTCCTCCATGTCCACTTGCGGTTTCCTCGTTTTCGGTAGAAGGTATTTAAAATCCGTAAATTATTGCGTTCTGCGAATTCTACTAGTAGCTCTCCTCTGGCGTTTCTATTACCGATGCCATAATCTCCTACTACCTGGTCTCCAGCCTGCTTCTTCCCTACCTTTGCATTAAAGTCTCCCATCAGTATTGTATACTGTGTTTTTACCTTACTCATTGCCGATTCCACATCTTCATAGAAGCTTTCAACTGAAGCGTCATCATGGCTGGATGTAGGCGCGTAGGCCTGTACCACCTTCATCTTCTATCTCTTATTCAGTTTAATTACGATACTTACCACCCTTTCATTAATGCTATAGTATTCCTCTGTTGCCAGCTATGTTTCTGTGAATTAGGAACCCCACTCCCAGTTCTCTTCTGTCAGCCA